CAAATCCAGACAATCTCATTGGCTGATCTGGAAAGAATTTATTTGCAAATTATGGTGGAAATAATTATTTGGTCACCTACAAACAAGCAAGATTTCTGGCTCTCACAGACCTGGACCTTCTTCTTTAAGAGGCTCCTCTGTCCTGCACTCATTACCTGTATCAATGGCACCTGTTTGAACTTGTTATCAGTATAAAAGACACCTGTCCACAACCTCAAACAGTCACACTCCAAACTCCACTATGGTGAAGACCAAAGAGCTGTCAAAGGACACCAGAAACAAAATTGTAGACCTGCACCAGTCTGGGAAGACTGAATCTGCAATAGGCAAGCAGCTTGGTGTGAACAAATCAACTGTGGGAGCAATAATTAGAAAATGGAAGACATACAAGACCACTGATAATCTCCCTCGATCTGGGGCTCCACGCAAGATCTCACTCCGTGGGGTCAAAATGATCACAAGAACGGTGAGCAAAAATCCCAGGACCACACGGGGGGACCTAGTGAATGACCTGCAGAGAGCTGGGACCAACGTAACAAAGGCTACCATCAGTAACACACTACGCCGCCAGGGACTCAGATCCTGCAGTGCCAGACGTGTCCCCCTGCTTAAGCCAGTACATGTCCGGGCCCGTCTGAAGTTTGCTAGAGAGCATTTGGATGATCCAGAAGAGGATTGGGAGAATGTCATATGGTCAGATGAAACCAAAATAGAACTGTTTGGTAGAAACACAACTCGTCGTGTTTGGAGGAGAGAGAATGCTGAGTTGCATCCAAAGAACACCATACCTACTGTGAAGCATGGGGGTGGCAACATCATGCTTTGGGGCTGTTTCTCTGCAAAGGGACCAGGACGACTGATCCATGTACAGGACAGAATGAATGGGGCCATGTATCGTGAGGTTTTGACCTCCTTCCATCAGCAAGGGCATTGAAGATGAAACGTGGCTGGGTCTTCCAACATGACAATGATCCCAAACATACCGCCCGGGCAGCGAAGGAGTGGCTTCATAAGAAGCATTTCAAGGTCCTGGAGTGGCCTAACCAGCCTCCAGATCTCAACCTCATAGAAAAACCTTTGGAGGGAGTTGAAAGTCCATGTTGCCCAGCGACAGCCCCAAAACATCACTGCTCTAGAGGAGATCTGCATGGAGGAGGAGATCTGCATGGAGGATGGGCCAACATACCGGCAACAGTGTGTGCCAACCTTGTGAAGACTTCCAGGAAACGTCTGACCTCTGTCATTGCCAACAAAGGATATATAACAAAGTATTGACATGAACTTTTCATATTCACCAAATACTTATTTTCCACCATAATTTGCAGATAAATTCTTTCCAGATCAGCCAATGTGATTGTCTGGATTTGTTTTCTCATTTTGTCTCTCATAGTTGAGGTCTCCCTATGATGCCAATTACAGGCCTCTCTCATCTTTGTAAGTGGGAGAACTTGCACCATTGGTGGGGACTAAATACTTTTTTGCCCCACTGTGTGTATAAAATCTATAATAAAATAAAACTATGCGGAGCATAATTATAAATACTATCACATAACTATATCTATAAATACATGTTTATGAACCCTTAACCACCTATTTAGTATTAACAGTATTCAAATCCTTATTTATTATATAAATACTGTATAATAATAATAATAATAATTATTATAATAATTATTATAGTACATCCCCTCTATCATCATTTACGCCCTCTAATGGTGAACTTTATATTGCACTTTTTATTCTTATATTTAAAACTATCATCTTTATTTGAATAATTAAAACTTCTCAATAAAATAAAATAAAATAAACACCATGTATAAATAAAACTATTCTGTGAAGAGTTACGTATATCTGTATATTATTTGAAACCCACTTGGTGCCTTTCTAAAACATTTTATATATCTTATTTTAATAAATTAATATACAGTATATACTAAAATATTCAGTCAAAATGTCCCGGGTCCAGCATCAGTGAGGATACAGATGTGCCTCAGGGTTGGTGATCAGTAGGAGAAAGAGTAATGTCCCATCATTGGTGTCAGTGGGAGTAATAGTACCTCATTGTTGGGGTCAGTGGGAGGAATAGTGCCCCATCATTGGTGTCAGTGGGAAGAATAGTGCCCATCAATGGTGTCAGTGGGAGGAATAGTGCCCCATCATTGGTGTCAGTGGGAGGAATAGTGCCCCATCATTGGTGTCAGTGGGAGGAATAGTGCCCCATCATTGGTGTCAGTGGGAGGAATAGTGCCCCATCATTGCTGTCAGTGGGAGGAATAGTGCCCCATCATTGGTGTCAGTGGGAGGAATAGTGCCCATCAATGGTATCAGTGGGAGGAATAGTGCCCCATCATTGGTGTCAGTGGGAGGAATAGTGCCCCATCATTGGTGTCAGTGGGGGGAATAGTGCCCCATCATTGGTGTCAGTGGGAGGAATAGTGTCCCATCATTGGTATCAGTGGGAGGAATAGTGCCCCATCATTGGTATCAGTGGGAGGAATAGTGTCCCATGATTGGTGTCAGTGGGAGGAATATTGCCCCATCATTGGTATCAGGAAGAGGAATAGTGCCCCATCATTGGTGTCAGTGGGAGGAATAGTGCCCCATCATTGGTGTCAGTGGGAGGAATAGTGTCCCATCATTGGTGTCAGTGGGAGGAATAGTGTCCCATCATTGGTATCAGTGGGAGGAATAGTGTCCCATCATTGGTGTCAGTGGGAGGAATAGTGCCCCATCGTTGGTGTCAGTGGGAGGAATAGTGCCCCATCATTGCTGTCAGTGGGAGGAATAGTGTCCCATGATTGGTGTCAGTGGGAGGAATATTGCCCCATCATTGGTATCAGGAAGAGGAATAGTCCCCCATCATTGATGTCAGTAGGAGGAATAGTACCCCATCATTGGTGTCAGTGGGAGGAATAGTGCCCCATCATTGGTATCAGTGGGAGGAATAGTGCCCCATCATTGGTATCAGTGGGAGGAATAGTGCCCCATCATTGGTGTCAGTGGGAGGAATAGTGTCCCATCATTGGTGTCAGTGGGAGGAATAGTGCCCCATCATTGGTGTCAGTGGGAGGAATAGTGCCCCATCATTGGTGTCAGTGGGAGGAATAGTGCCCCATCATTGGTATCCGTGGGAGGAATAGTGCCCCATCATTGGTATCCGTGGGAGGAATAGTGTCTCGTCATTGGTGTCAGTGGGAGGAATAGTGCCCCGTCATTGGTGTCAGTGGGAGGAGGAATAGTGCCCCATCATTGGTATCAGTAGGAGGAATAGTGTCCCATCATTGGTGTCAGTGGGAGGAATAGTGCCCCATCATTGTTGTCAGTGGGAGGAATAGTGTCCCATCATTGGTGTCAGTGGGAGGAATAGTGCCCCATCATTGGTATTAGTGGGAGGAATAGTGCTCCATCATTGGTGTTAGTGGGAGGAATAGTGCCCCATCATTGGTGTCAGTGGGAGGAATAGTGTCCCATCATTGTTGTCAGTGGGAGGAATAGTGTCCCATCATTGGTGTCAGTGGGAGGAATAGTGTCCCATCATTGTTGTCAGTGGGAGGAATAGTGTCCCATCATTGTTGTCAGTGGGAGGAATAGTGCCCCATCATTGGTGTCAGTGGGAGGAATAGTGCCCCATCGTTGGTGTCAGTGGGAGGAATAGTGTCCCTATCATTGGTGTCAGTGGGAGGAATAGTGTCCCATCATTGGTATCAGTGGGATGAATAGTGTCCCATCATTGGTGTCAGTGGAAGGAATCGTGCCCCATTGTTGGTGTCAGCGGGAGGAATAGTGCCTCATATCACTGGGAGCAATAGTGCCCCAAGGGCCGGATAAAGGCTAGCAAGGGGCCACATCCAGCCCTCTGGCCACAGTTTGGACACCCCTGATCTACAAGGTCCGTTGCAATGTTATGGCTGATTTTTTTCATCATGATGTCTACGTGTATGCTACAGACTCCCTCCAACGTCCACAGAGCCAAAAGGCAGATCGAGTATTTGAACTTCTCCAGAGTCTTGTCCTTATTACGTCATTCTCTCTGTGTCACATGCTGCAGATGTCCAGCAGTCCAATGATTTCCAGCAGTTGGTGAGCGATCAAGAGACAATGAGGAGCAGCATGACTCAGAGCCTCAGAAGTGGAGAGGACCTCCTGGAATTGGTGAAGAAAAAGCTGGTGACCACCGAGAGTGACCTGGAGAAGACCCGTCTGGAGCTGGAGAAGGCAGTCCAGGGTATTATGGATCTGAACAGCTCTCTGCTGCAGTGCCAGTGGGAGGAACAGAATTCTAAAGCTGAAAAACAAGCAGTGGAGGAAACGCTAAAAGACGCAAAGTCCAAACTGGACAAGTACGAAAAAGGTACTACAGGTATTCAAATCTGGTTTCTTTTTGGAAATCCTCCCCTTCAACATACACACTTACCTCAGTGCTACGTTCTTTACATCCTTCACCCAACATCATCATTGCACTGGCCTCAGCTGTGCAGTGTATCCACAAAGACTTGTATGGGACCATCTCTCAAGCTCCTCTGGCCTCGAGAGGTTGCCCTATAGAAGTCCAAGAGGACTACTGCACAGGAACAATGGAGTGAAGAACGTAGACCGAGGCCACAGCATCAAGGTAAGTATGCATGTGGGGGATTATGTAGGGAGGTACTTTAGGTTGGGGAAGTGGCAGGCATTTTCTTTCTTATCAAGAAATGATTCCATCACAAATCCAAAATACAAGGGGCATTTGAATCAAATCGGGACTCTTAAAGGTAAAAAAAAGTGGAGGGATTGGCAGAGAGGGGTGAAGGACACTGAATGGAGGCCAGTGGAGGGATTTGCAGAGAGGGGTGGAGGACACTGAATGAAGGCCAGTGGAGGGATTGGCAGAGACGGGTGGAGGACACTGAATGGAGGCCAGTGGAGGGATTGGCAGAGAAGGGTAGAGGACACTGAATGGAGGCTAGTGGAGGGATTGGCAGAGAGGGGTGGAAGACACTGAATGGAGGCCGGTGGAGGGATTGGCAGAGAGGGGTGGAGGACACTGAATGGAGGCCAGTGGAGGGATTGGCAGAGAGGGGTGGAGGACACTGAATGAAGACCAGTGGAGGGATTGGCAGAGAGGGGTGGAGGACACTGAATGGAAGCCAGTGAAGGGATTGGCAGAGAGGGGTGGAGGACACTGAATGGAGGCCAGTGGAGGGATTGGCAAAGGGGGGTTGAGGACACTGAATGAAGGCCAGTAGAAGAATTGGCAGAGAAGGGTGGAGGACACTGAATGGAGTCCAGTGGAAGGAATGGTAGAGAGGGGTGGAGGACACTGAGTGGAGGCCATTGGAGGGATTGGCAGAGAGGGGTGGAGGACACTGAATGGAAGCCTGTGGAGAGATTGTCAGAGAGGGGTGAAGGACACTGAATGGAGGCCAGTGGAGGGATTGGCAGAAAGGGGTGGAGAACACTGAATGAAGACCAGTGGAGGGATTGGCAGAGAGGGATGGAGGACACTGAACGGTTGGTAAGGGGGATGAGTCTGGCGGCAGCATTCATGATGGACTGGAGGGGGGATAATCTATGTAAACGTCATCCAACGAGGATCGAGTTGCAGTAGTCAAGACTAGAGATGACCAGGGAGTGAATTGGGATCTTTGTGGTGTCATTGGTTAGGAAGGGGCGTATTTTGGAGATGTTGTGGAGGTTGAAATGGCACACTTTGGACATTGATTGGATGTGGGGCACGAAGGAAAGGTCAAAGTCTAGGATTACAACTAGCACCCTGGCATGAGGGGAATGACCAACGGAAATCCCACCAGAAAGAGGAGTGTAGGAGTTGGTGTTGTATGTGATGCTGACAATGCACTGAGAAAGGTAAGAGGGGAACCAGGAAAGAGCAGAGTCATGGAGGCTAAGGGAGTGGAGTTTACTGAGGAGGAGAGGGTGGTCAACTGTGTCAAAGTGAGGGGAAAGGTCTAAAAGTATGAGTGCGGAGTAGTGACCATTGGTTGGGATGACTACGGAGCAGTGGCCATTGGTTGGGATGAGTACGGAGTAGTGGCCATTGACTGGGATGAGTACGGAGTAGTGGCCATTGGTTGGGATGAGTACGGAGTAGTGGCCATTGGTTGGGATGAGTACGGAGTAGTGGCCATTGGCTGGGATGAGTACGGAGTAGTGGCCATTGGTTGGGGATGAGTACGGAGTAGTGGCCATTGGTTGGGATGAGTACGGAGTAGTGGCCATTGGCTGGGATGAGTAAGGAGTAGTGGCCATTGGTTGGGATGAGTACAGTTTACTGGCCATTGGTTGGGATGAGTACGGAGTAGTGGCCATTGGCTGGGATGAGTACGGAGTAGTGGCCATTGGTTGGGATGAGTACAGTTTACTGGCCATTGGTTGGGATGAGTATGGAGTAGTGGCCATTGGTTGGGAGGAGTACGGAGTAGTGGCCATTGGTTGGGATGAGTACGGAGTAGTGGCCATTGGTTGGGGTGAGTACGGAGTAGTGGCCATTGGTTGGGATGAGTACGGAGTAGTGGCCATTGGTTGGGATGAATGTTGTGGGTGGAAGCCAGACTGTAGAGCAGGGGTGTCAAACTGGTGGCCCTCCAGCTGTTGCAAAACTATAAGTCCCATCATGCCCCTGCCTTTGGGAGTCATACTTGTAACTGTCAGTCTTGCAATGCCTCATGGAACTTGTAGTTTGGCAACAGCTGAAGAGCCAGTTTGACACCCGTGCTGTAGAGGATCAAGAAGGTTGTTGTCACTGAGGTGGCAACTCATACGTTTCTGGACAAGGCTCTCAAGAAGCTTGAAGGCAAACAGGAGTAAGTAGATGGACCTTAAGTTATTCAACAGGTGGGGTCCAGCGAGGGATTTTTAGGTATGGGGTAACCAGTGCATGTGTGAGCAGGGAAGGGAAAGGCGATGGTGGGGAGGGAGAGGGGAAGGTGAGGAGGGAGAGGGGAAGGTGGGAAGGGAAAGGCGACGGTGGGGAGGGAGAGGGGAAGGTGGGAAGGGAAAGGCGAAGGTGGGAAGGGAAAGGCGAAGGTGGGGAGGGAGAGGGGAAGGTGGGAAGGGAAAGGCGAAGGTGGGAAGGGAAAGGCGAAGGTGGGGAGGGAGAGGGGAAAGTGGGGAGGGAGAGGTTGAAGATGTGGGTTGGAGAGTTTATGATGGAGCAGGAAGGAGTTCTAAAATGCAGACAGGTATTCCAGGCTTGTTGGACATCATTGGTGCAGTGCCTGGAAACCAAGACTTCTGTGGCCTGGGAATCAGAAACCAACTAAAGGGTTATAGCGAGGTCGGCCACAACGGAAACAAAAATGCTCCACTGAATAAAATTTATTTTATTTTTTCATTCATTTTATAATTAATTTAATTTATTATAAAATATTTTAGAAATGCTACTACAACCAGCCCAGAGGTGAAAGACCATCGTTTTTTTTTTTGTTAGGGCTCTTTCACACGGGGAGGACCTGTTTAGCGGAGCCACTTGCTCAGCGGTGGGATCTCTCCACTGATCCCCGCTATGATCTCTCTGCTGATCCCTGCTGAGATCTCTCCGCTGACCCTGGCTGAGATCTCTCCACTGATCCCCGCTATGATCTCTCCACTGATCCCCGCTATGATCTCTCCACTGATCCCCGCTATGATCTCTCCACTGATCCCCGCTATGATCTCTCCGCTGATCCCCGCTATGATCTCTCCACTGATCCCTGCTATGATCTCTCCGCTGATCCCCGCTATGATCTCTCCGCTGATCCCCGCTATGATCTCTCCGCTGACCCCGGCTGAGATCTCTCCGCTGATCCCTGCTATGATCTCTCCACTGATCCCCGCTGTGATCTCTCCGCTGATCCCCGCTGAGATCTCTCCGCTGACCCCAGCTGAGATCTCTCCGCTGATCCCCGCTATGATCTCTCCACTGATCCCCGCTATGATCTCTCCGCTGATCCCCGCTATGATCTCTCCACTGATCCCCGCTATGATCTCTCCTCTGATCCCCGCTATGATCTCTCCGCTGACCCCGGCTGAGATCTCTCCGCTGATCCCTGCTATGATCTCTCCGTTGATCCCCACTATGATCTCTCCGCTGATCCCTGCTATGATCTCTCCGCTGATCCCCGCTGTGATCTCTCCGCTGATATCTCTCCGCTGACCCCGGCTGAGATCTCTCCGCTGATCCCCGCTATGATCTCTCCACTGATCCCCGCTATGATCTCTCCGCTGATCCCTGCTATGATCTCTCCGCTGATCCCCGCTGTGATCTCTCCGCTGATCCCCGCTATGATCTCTCCGCTGATCCCCGCTATGATCTCTCCACTGATCCCCGCTGAGATCTCTCCACTGATCCCCACTGAAACCTCTCTGCTGATCCCCGCTGAGATCTCTCCGCTGATCCCTGCTATGATCTCTCCACTGATATCTCTCCGTTGATCCCCACTGAGATCTCTCCGCTGATCCCCACTGAGATCTCTCTGCTGATCCCCGCTGAGATCTCTCCGCTGATCCCCGCTATGATCTCTCCACTGATCCCCGCTGATATATCTCTGCTGATCCCCACTGAGATCTCTCCGCTGATCCCCGCTATGATCTCTCCACTGATCCCCGCTGATATCTCTCTGCTGATGCCCACTGAGATCTCTCCGCTGATCCCCACTGAGATCTCTCCGCTGATCCCCGCTGATATCTCTCCATTGATCCCGGCTGAGATCTCTCCGTTGATCCCCGCTGAGCAAGCGGATGACAGCTGTGTCCGGTCTGCTGTGCAGAGCAGACACAGACCTGCTCACTCTCCTCAATGGGCGGTCGGATGAAAATGGACCGCCTGTCTGTTTTCATCTAATCTGATCCGACAGACAGGAGGGGAATTGGACCCCATCCATCTGTTTTTGGTAGATTGGATGTCAGCGAGTGTAAATAGATACATGTCCGTTTACACCTGCTGCTCCATAGAGGAGAATGGAGGTTTCCGATCGGGTTTGCTTGAAAAACGGGCAGGCAGACCGGATCGGAACATTTGTGTGAAAGAGCCCTAATGCCCCTTCACACGGGCGTTCCATTTTTTTTGAGCAGTCCAGTTACATTTTTTCCACAAAAAAACGGATCAGTTCACATCAGTTTTTCATCAGTTTACATCCATTTTTCATCCATCTACATCTGTTTTTTTTTTGTCTGTTTTTCATCCGTTTTTGTCCATTTACATCCATTTTTGTCTATTTACATCCCTTTTCATCTGTTTACATCAGTTTTTGTCCATTTTATCCATTTACATCCATTTGCATCCATTTTTCATCCGTTTGTGTCCATTTACATCCATTTTTGTCAATGTACATCAGTTTTTCATCCGTTTTCTGTTTACATCCATTTTTCATCTGTTTGTTTCCGTTCACATCCATTTTTGTCCATTTACATCCGTTTTTCATCCACTTACATCCATTTGTGTCCGTTTACATATTTTTTTTTGTCCAATTTTTATCCGTTTACAGACGTTTTTGTCCATTTACATCCGTTTTTTGTCCATTTTTATCCGTTTGTGTCCGTTTACATCTGTTTTGTCCATTTACATCCATTTTCATCCGTTTACATCTGTTTACATCCGTTTTCATGCATTTACATCTGTTTTTTGTCCATTTATATCTGTTTACATCCGTTTGTGTCTGTTTACATCCATTTTTGTCCATTTACATCTGTTTTTCATCCATTTACATCTCTTTTTCTCCATTTACATCTGTTTTTTATCCATTCTTTTTTCTTTTAACTGAAGAAAATAGGGGTTTTTTTACGTTAAAAAAACATTTTTTTTTTTTATATGCAAATACAAAGTACAATTAAAAAAATTTAAAATGAAATTGTGTGTAATGCTAACCCCCCCCCCCCCCTTCACCCCGGAGGAGCCGTTTGTATTTTTGCTCAGGTTTCCCCTTGCTTCACCCCGCAGCCAGGCACAAAGTATTTTTTTGCTGGTTGTCTCCAATGACCAGTCTAGGGGATGTTGGTTTTTGGGGTTTTAGATCTGGGGATAGGGATGGGGGATGTAATAGGATACTCCAAGACTAGAACTCTTCACACTGTGGACCTCTAGCTGATCTCTCTGCTTTCAGCCAGGACTTCAGCAACGCACAACTAAGGGATCAGCTCTTAGTTGTGCTTTGCTGAAGTCCTGGCTGAAAGCAGATCGCAGACGTCCCTCTACTTTGTAACAACAAGTAGTTTAGGAGTCGGCCAAGTCCCTTCTTCAGTAGTAGTAGTTACAGGGCTGAGCTGCTCAGGTACAAGCCCGTTACGGCAGACTGTGGCAGTTCAAACACAATAGAACCGAGCAAAGTCCTTTGCAGTATGTCCATTGGACAAGCTCTTCAGGACACTGGCCCAATGTTCCCTTTCTGAGACCCACGCTGACTATTGAGCACCAGAGGGGTAGCCAAGCACCCCCAAGCATACCTCCCAACTGTCCCTGAACCACCGGGACCCTCCCGGAAACTGAACGCTGTCCCTCAGTCCCTCAGATACAGGCAGAATCCCGCAGCCTGGTGGGAAATCCTTCTCTAATTGGACCGGCTGGTTGTTTTGCATCATGGTGATTGGCTGAAGCTCAAAGCAATCCTCCTATAACTCTTTGTCCTGTGGGGGCGGGGTCAGATCCTGGTCTAGGCTGACGCCCAGGAGGTACTTTCTAGTGGAGTAGAGCCGGCGAGTGAG